AGCTTCGTACAGCACACGATGACAGTTGTCTCCAATTGAAATATCCCTCGAAACCCATCCTAAGCGATGCTCAATGGAGTCCATGTCCCCTCCCCCACCAACACGTCTTAGGAATATGGAGTGTACGAAGGAGCTGCGCACGTCAAATGTTCGAAATGAGCGAGGAATACGCGAAAAACCCCTTTTTCAATTCGGATTATGCCTAACGGCACCTGGCTCGGAGTGCGGAGCGGATTTAGTTACGGACCTCTTTGACGGCTCCTTCCCCGACCTTGTGCTAACGATGCCGTACATGGACCATGCCACGCCAACGGCGTATAGCACAGGCTAATAAGAGTACCTCAAACTTTGATGACTGAACCGGCACTGGCTTTCGGTACTTCCAATTGTGTGCTTTCACGGAATCGAAACTTTCAACTTGACGCACGCTTTGTGGGGGTACTGTATGCCACCTGTTCTTCTTCACCTTTTGTTCTTCTTATAATTTTATTATTCAGGGACATCTATTGGGCATATCATGCAATTCCATTGCAGCGGTGAAACATCTATTACGACAAAGAAATGGCTGAAGGTGAGCGAATCGGCATGTTCTAGGTACCATTTTTCCAAATAAATCAATATAATCAAATCATTTTGTTTTGAATCAAATGCTGACAGCTGATAAGATGCCACGATGGATTTAATGTAGTTACAAAAGTACAGAACACCTTCAGGAGCATACTGCCAGTATCAGTGATCTAGCTACCTGTCGATACGACGATATAACCTGCTCTGGTGATAGCTCTGGAAAAATTAATGTATGGAACAAAAGCATCAAGGGCGTACAACTTAAAATTGCCACACAGTGAGTTACGAGCTATACGCCATATCCCGGGAATGGGGAGGGCGTCGCTGCGTACCTCGCTTGTTTGTGGCAGCGGGTATGCTTGTGGTGGCATATTTCCTCGTGGGAACAGTTGTAATCATGTAGTTATCCAGTATAAAAAAATGGATTTTGCCTTGAGCGGGAGTTGCCCACGATGAACGCATCGTGTCGCCACGGTCAAAAAAAGTACGCAGGGACGCCCTCCCTCATATCCAGGATATGTAGTATGTTGTCTTTTGTTGCAAAATTAATTAGATGCGAGTGCATTTTTGGCTTGCATTTTAGATCCTTAGGTCATGCTCGTTGTACCGACACTTTATATAGATTGCTTTTGCACTGGTTTTTTTTGCAGTTTTTGAACGGTAATTGGATGGCTATGCGGTGAGAAACCCACAGCCGTTGTGCTTCTTTCTAATATTGCTACGCCCACCTCCTTCATTACATAGGGTCGAGGGCGTACCAGTCAGAAAGGTTGAGCGGTCGCGAATGTCCACCCATTTCTCCGCTCATTCCGCCCACCGCCGTAATGCGGAATGTCCCTTCAAGGAGAATAAGGGAACAGGCAAATATGTAGCCCTGAAGACATCATTGGTCCAGCCTTCACCCACAGCGCAATCATTCTTTGAGCGCCAACAGTAGGTGAAACGTTCTGTTCTGTGCTCTAGTCTTGATACATACTCCACATCCTGAAAATGGAGTGGGCGTGGCAGCATACTTCAGTTAGGCATGGCGACGACTGCGCTTCTAATTGGTTACTTTCGTTCCCCGACAATAGTACTCATTCTTTTGCACACAAAAGGAGAGTTCGAGTGAAAATATCTCACTAAAACGGCATCCTGCGCCATACTTTACGGTACGCAGCCACGCCCCTTCATTTCTTGGATATGGAGCATGGATTCACCATGAAATGAGTTTCTTATTTTTGCAGGCATCCAATAACGGCTATGAGTGTTTTGCGGAAGCAAGTAATTGTTGGGACACTTCGTGGACGTGTGCTGTTCTATTCAATCTCAGGTGGCGAGCTAATGGCCGAAGTGAGTAGAAGAAATCCTGTTGAAAATTCACTGCCTTCGACACGCATTTCAGGTTCTTGCACATGCCCGAGCCATTACTTGTATTTCTGTGGCACCCGAAAGCGCGTACGTTCTTACTGGTTCAGAAGATGGACGATTTATCGTGTATAAATTGCACACAAGGAAGCCTCAAGCCTATCAGGTAAAGGTCCCATATGAGGTCCAGCTCCTTGCAGAACACGTAGGTGTGAATCACCTGGTCGATAGCATACGGCGACGGCCATGGTGGAAGGTGTAGTGCTGCAGAAATCATTGTTTTGCAGAGTCACGACAAAATGTTTGAGCCATTCTAAAAGCAGAGGTCCAGACTACGAGGGGACCTCATGCAGCCAACCACCCAGGGATGATAAGCTGACCCCCCAGCACTCCTGCACTGGCTGGTTCGCAGAGGTCTCTCTGAATCGCTTCATCCACACTCCCACTATGACTGAGCCCTTATGCGCCCACTATTTCTAACTTCTCTTTCGCCGTCTCCATTGCGCTCTCCTAACGCAGTGTTATCAAATCCGCCTCATAATAATACTAAGGGCATGACAGTGCGGCTCGCCCTCGCTGCGTGCTCCCAGCCCACACCCTCGCCTCTACCCAACCACATTAGCATCCATTAAACTCATGTGTGTTGATGTTATCATACTCCATATATAGAGCAGAAGTGGTCTGTGTGTCTGTCGGACCAGCAGGAG